ATTTAGCAATTTTATAGTCTTCTGTTTATATCATCTTGATACAGTGACTTCTGTTATGGATTTTGTTCTATTTATCAATCTCAAAATAACATGTCATTTATAAAACTTTCCCATTAACATATAAAACTGACTGTTTTCCTTGATGTTTCTGACAGAGGAGAAAATTGAGCTTTAACATGTATTTGAAAAGTTGACTTTGTAACTCTGCTGTGGTGTCTCATCACTCAGACAGCTTCTGATGCATATTTTGAAGTATAATAGGACCTGAGGATTTAAAAGAGGGATTTTAATCTACAAGGCACCCTGTTGAAGCCTTCTCTCAAAAATGTGTTTTGATTTCTCTATTGATGAGGAGCATCTTGGTGATTTCGTTCTGCAGGTCTTATGCACCATTGCCTTACATTTTGCTACTTGTTTGCCTTAAGCTGCTTGTGAAACATTAATGCTACAGTTGCACTGTTTTTTCTGTTCAGGAGGATCCCATTGCGCTGCATATCTGGTTGACCCCTCTAGGTGAAGAAGCTTGGAATTCAAACAGATTAGTTTCCCTGAAGTTTTTGCTGCTCTTAATACAAAAGGGCTTGAGCAGGGCTGGAAGATAAGGTTCACCCTGAATGACTTTATTGCAGCCCCATCTTGCAGCACAATCTTACTGCTCTGCTTCCTGCAGAGCACCTTCTCCTTAAGCTCTGCAGGAAGTGGGAAATGGGAAATGTTTGTAAGACATAGTGAAACAAAGAGGTAAAAACCCAAGACTTCATTAAGTGAAGTGCTGCAGTCCCACTAGAGCATTTTACTGCTAGTCCTGGTCTCCCGAGTCATGCACTTTGCATTACAAGATTGTCAGTGATGATGATGACTAAATAACAAAGCACTCCCTTGCCAGTAGTAATAAGAAATATCATGTATCCTTTTCCAAGTATTGTTATGATAAGAAAATGTTATTTCCCATCAACTTTGACAGGTTTTTATAAGTTCTCATGAAAATATTTCACTCAGCTGGACATAGGTTTCATGACAAGCATACACCTAGTATCTAAGTTATCAAAACAAACCTTCCTCTTTTATTTGCAAGAAAGGTTTGGGTTTTCATTCCACTTTTATGTTACTAATTTAAAAAAGTGTCAAACACCAATTTATTTTGGACAGCCGCAAACTTTGTTCTTAGTTGTCACAAGTAGTGGAGGTGCAGCCTCTCCCAACTCGGTAGGGAACTGGTATGACAGTAAACCCCCAGAGGACCTCAGTCACATCAAGCATACCCCAGCTGCAGCCTTGAGCTCCTCTCCCCTACTAAATTGATTATTTGTCTTCTGGCAACGGGAAAAGTTGAGCCAGCTAATTTTGGGAACATCTCCCTTCCCTTTAGGTTTCAGTTTTTTAGGCTGTTTTGAGAAGAATCTGAAAATGGTGATGCAATTAGAAATTCATGTGGGAAAATGTCTTGCTGAGAAAAACAAAATTTTGGTGAGAAAAGCTGCCTCCTTGTAATCAAAATGTTTCTGGTGTAATATTTTGAAGTATTCATATGCATGTAACTCCAAGTGAAACCAACTTTCACAGAATCTAGGCTAGTCTGGTGGCCACTGATGGACACAGAGATTTTGGATTTGGGCAAACATCAACAGTATGGGTTCTTCATATCTGTGCAAAACCAGTCTGTAAATGTGCACAGGTGCCTGTTTCCTTCCCTTTATTCTGATGATTTCTGTCAAATCAATTACCTGAATCGCAGCCTGTGTTAGGGATTGCTTTTTTCGTTTGCACTGAGCTAAAAACTTGGTGGCCTTCACTGCTTTTTGGGGGCTCTGCTGGGTGAATACTAGACCTAAGAACAGCAGCACTCAGATGTTTCCTCTATTCAGTCCATACTGCTCATGGTATAAAGAAAACAGATCTTAATATGTTTCTTCTGCTATGATCATTAATTATTAGGTTTTAAGTTCTGCCTGTGTTGCCTGCAAGATGTTATAATTTAGAAGAGAGTAGCAATTTGAGGAGGAAAGACATGCCTCCTACCTCTTTCTTTTCTTTAGATTCCACTCGCCCCCCACGCCACCCCTGCTAATGTATTCTCTGGGCTTTGGGGATGAGGCAAATTACTCTGTGTTGGTGACAAGAGCAAAGTAAGTGAGACTTAGCTGTGCAGGAAGGTCTCTCTGCATAGCCTGATGGTGAAAGCACTTCTTAGTGGGGAAAGAATGGTACTGTATGCTTGCATCCTGCTTCCAGGACTCCTTCAGTGGTTTCATGCTGTCACTGTATATAAAATAAAGAGTGAGCCCTGCAGGCAAGAAACATGAGCAACTCTCCCAGTTTTGTATAAGTGCCATAAGCAATAGACTGTATCCTCATGCTTGTTCTCTCTTTCTGACGCATGAAATACAATTTTTTTTTTTTGCCTGTGACGCGGCTTCAAAGAGAAGTTCTTTCCCTTGGTATCCTAATGGATAGGAAGTGGGAGGAGAGGAATGAATAAATCAGTAGGCAGCAGGAGGGGAAACTGACTTTATTTCTCTGTGTTTGTGGTGGGTGCCTTAACCACATTAATCCATAGAAAGACTAATAATTTTTTTATGTGTAACTCTGCCTATTGAGAATATACACATGTGCACCCTCATCTTTGGTAACATGTGGGCACTGGGCTATTTTTTGGGAGCCCAGATCTGCCTGATGGATGTACTCAGAACTTGCTTGGCAGATATCTTGCTTGGCAAACTTTTTTATCTGATCCAGTTTAGGCATGAGCTAACACCAAGCCTTTTAGCATGAGTCTGGTGACAAAGTGCAGTGGTTGCATTCATTTATGTTCCAGTATCACGTTTTTCAGGCATTTAAGGTGATGATCTGAAAATTTATCCCAAGGGTCAGTTTAAGAAGGGACAGATACTAAACATCTTCATTCATATCTGTGCTTCAGGCTTTTGTCTTTCAGATAGCTCTAGGTGTTACAAAGCTACATAAAATGCATAATGGCATCCATGACCCACCGGTGTGAATTTCCTCAATACCCACTCTGGTCAAGCTCTCTGCTCCCCACACCAGCACATTCTCATGCCTGGAAGAAGGCAGGCAGTGGCATGGTGGATGTTAGTGAGCCACTGGAGTTTTCTGTCACATCAGCCAGGGTTATTGTGACCAGTGGTCTTCCCAAAGAGTGGGAAACCCATGGCCAAGGGCAGTTTGGAGTAGATGAGTATATAGTTTGCACACAGCTGTGCTGTTTCAGAGCCAAAGATACTTTAATGGAGACAGTGCTAAGCCAGCTGCCTTCAGTGCTGGGAGTGTGATAGGACACACTCAGTTTATTGGTGCAGGTGAAGAGCAAAGCTGCAGGAGAGTTTCAATGAATGTCAGGGCAGAGGTGGCACTAACCAAATCCTAGGCTGATTTGACAGCTCCATCCTCTGCTTGCTTGCTAATGTCAGGGCTCCGGAAGAAGACACATTGTCTCTGAAAACTGGTGGTCTGTGAATTTTTTATCTGTTTTGCTGCCCCAGAAGATTTCCACTTGTAATGGGAATGAAAAAGTATCTGGCTCTGGTCATGGATGTTATAAATGCCTTCCTATGTGATACAGGACTCTCAGTATGTTATTGCTAGACCACAAATTGTAAGTTCTGCCTGTGCCAAAGAGCTTTCAAAACTCTTTATTTATCATCTTGCACATGGGATTTGGGTCACCCTTGTATTGTTCTGTGTGATTTTTCATTTGTATATGCTGGGCCAGATGTTTAGCTGATAAAAGTCAGTGTAACTTCACTGATTGCAAAGAAGCTGCACCAAGCTGATGATTCAACTTTTGTTCATTTCATTGTTTAGATTTATCATATTTATTGACCTCAGCATAGAGAATATGGTTTTCATGTCTGCTGTAAGGGAGGGGCTTTATACAAAAAAAATGGATTCTGCTCTCAGTGACACCAAGCCTCATCTTGCAGGTGAAGATTGAATCCAGCCATAATGTACAAAATGAAATGGTTTATGTGAAATACCCACATATGATAATACTTTGGTTGGTATTCATAGAGCTATGCTTGCTCCATCTGTCTCAGTTATAAATATTGTAAGTGCATATTTCAGTAAATTTTAAGGTTTGTAACAATGTAGTAAAATCAAGTTGATGTTAATAAATTCTAGCAAGCACAGAAACTCGGTTGTTCCTCAGTAGGTTTCTATTTAGCTGCTCAAGAATATCTTGCTACAGCTGCAAAAATATTAAACTAAGTTTAAACTCCAACAAATGCTCTGCTAAGAAAGTTGATTTTTCTATGTTTAGAACAGTGGATTGGATTGTCAAAAATGAGTAGCAAATGTGCCTGCAGAAGAATTTTATATCTGGCTTTTTGTTTTCCTTTTTTGCCTAGTGTTCAGAAATGCAGAATTACCTAAGAACCACATGCTGATGCAAAGATGAAAGTTGGCAATTCTTAGCTTCCTTTTCCACACCCAACTAAAATTAGACCCAAAATGCCATGAGGACACTGGGAAGAGATCTATTAGGCTGCCACCATTTCTTTCTGATTTGCAGTTGCCCAAAAGTAACGTAGCAGCCTTTGAAGAGCACAGATGGCTCATTTGGCTGTTGGTTTTGAAGCAGTTTGCACTGAGGTCTTCCAAAATTTTCTACTGCCTTTCAGCCCCTGAGCATATATCTGTGGCTCGGGTAGTGAGGAGCTCCCAGCAGTTTTCCCTAATTCCTGCACTGAAGAACTCCTGGGATCACAGTGGCCACATCTGGGACTTGTCTGGGTCTGCTCTGCCCTTTTGGGCTTTTAGGAACAGATTGAGGAACTTGCAGTTGAGTCTAGTTGAGAATAAATCTTAGGAAACAAGGACAGGGGGAAGGGAGGGGACATGATGGTATTTCAGAGGCAATAGCAAGGTTTGCCTAGCTTTGCTCACTTGCTGGTAAAACCTGGTGCAAATAAGAAAATACCAAGTGTTCAGTCCAACCAATAATTAAAAAGTGGATGTTCTGTTTCTGTGTTTTCTTACAGCTGGCAGCATTAGAGAGACAAATCTTTGACTTCCTGGGTTTCCAGTGGGCTCCTATCCTTGGCAATTTCCTACAAATAATAGTTGTCATTTTGGGTTTGTTTGGAACCATCCAGTTTAGACCTCGATATATAGTCGTGGTAAGTCTCATTTATTATATTTTTTGTTGGGTTTTTTTGCCATAAAACCTGTAATATTACAAAGCAGAATTTTCTAGGTTTCAAAATACCAGATGGTATTTCTGTAGAAACTGTAGAGGTCTCAGTGTCTTTTTGCAAATTTAGTACTACTAAGTGAATTTTTTGATGTTTTTGACATTATTAAAAACAGGTAACCTGGATAAAGTGCTGCCAAAACTATGTATAGTATAGTATATATATATATACTATGTATAGTATATAGATATAGATATAGATATAGTATAGTGTATATATATATATATATATATATAGTATAGTGTACAAGTCAATTAGACTATATGTAAATGTATAAACAAAATACAAATTATTGCTGTTTTTGCAACAGACAATTAAGAATTGATGGCGATTAAAAAAATTTTTGCAATTACCAAGTTATGTTCCTTTTGTTTTTTACATCTTTCTCTTAAGCAGAAAGGAGCAAGGATTATAGAAATTTCTTTGGTCCTGTTACCCACGGGTTCCAAAGAAGCCTCCTTCTCACTTACATGTAATTTTGTCATGACCTGTATTTATGGCTTTGACCTTAAATTATCGTAAATTCTCTCTGATGCTTGTAACTTGAAGCTTCTCAGTTGTTTTTTTCCCCCATGTTCTCAATATAGCCAGGAATAAAAAGAAATTTCAAAGCTGTGAAGTAAACTGCCAACAAAAATAAAAATCTCTGTTCCTCCCCCATGTTCATTTTTAAATGTAAGAATACTATGTCTTTACTTGATAATGGCTGTATTTGGAACATTCTGGTTGTGTTGTCAGTAATGGATTTTAAGAGGCTAAAGTTATCTTTTTCCTCACAAATGAATGAAATAAACGTCTGCAGGGGAAAAGTTGCTAAACAAATACTTAAAAAGCTTCATATTTTCTAGTCCAGCCTGGAATCCTGTAATTCTTTGTCATGTCTTAAAAGAAAAAGTGAACAAAAAGTTCATCCAAGATTATACTTATATTAACTATGTTTACAAGCAGACTGTAATGAATTGAAAATAGATTGATATAAAAAAATAGCTCTTTTATCTATTTTCTGTGGTTGAAGAACTGTGCATCCATGTATTGATGAATCACTTTCTGCTTCATGCTCTCCATTTTATACATAAGAAGTGAGTGTAAGCATCTGTAAAATTATGTAGGAAATTCATGTCTAAGTGCAACACTACAAAATTTCTTGCCCCTCAGGTTCAGCACTGCTATTCAATGATGCAAAAGCTCTGTTTTAATCTTCAAATGAAATGCAACAGATGTTGACTGTTTTATATCTCTGCCAGGGTAATTGAACATTTTAGGCTACACAAAAGTTATTTTAAAGCAGAGGTAGAAAACTCATAATTAAAGAAAGAAACACCTCCCCAACAAGGCACTTTATGCTGATTTAACTGAACTCATATTCTGATTTATCTTTAAGCATGTATTTAGGAGCTCTAGCTACAGCAGGTGCCAATACCCATTACTGTGGAAGATGAAGATGAGGGAAGATGAAGGTTTTAGAGCCCAGCTGGTCAGAGCATGGTGCTAACAATGCCATAGGTCACAGGTTTGATCCCTGTATGGGCCATTCTCTCAAGACCTGGACTTGATGATTCTTGTGGGTCCCTTCCAGCTCAGAATGTTCTGTGAATACCCACTTCTTCATCCCATCACCACCCCTCTGAGCAACCTGTGATTATATCCTTAGTAACGTAGGGTTTACAGTGCAATAGGAATAGTTTGAGCCAAATCCTGAAGTCTGAAGGCTGGCTGTAGCACAAGGTGTCTGTAACTAACCTCACAACTTAACATCAGCAGAATGGGGTGGCTGTCATGTCTTCCTGTTCCCACTGTTGTGGGAAGTGTGACTGAACACTTCTCCAGATCCTCTCCCCCACTTCTGGCAGGAGTTAACTGGACCTGTCAGTAAGCCAGTTCCATTTCTAAGCTGTCAGAAAACCAAACTAGCAAAAAGTGGGGAATTTGCAAAACAGGTGACCTGAATCCAGTCTGTGAGGTTCCAGAGGTTGCCAAGGCTGGCATAAGGTCGGGATTGGGACTTCATGTTTATGAACAGCAATGTGCAAGATTTCTCTTGTTGCTGTCTCCAAACTTGTCAGTTCAACCTCATGCCTAGCCTTGCCCTCAGGCTGAATTCAGTGAATATCTCAAGCCAGCATAAGCAGTACTCCCTTTGCTCAGCTGCTGCCTTCAGTCCCTGTGCTGTTCCCCTGTTTGCAACGGCACAGATACTGGTTCAGCACTTGGTAAACTGTCAAACAAGAACAGATCCAGGTTAAAAGCAACTATTTTCTTTGCTTGTATTAAGTGTGGGTCAGCTCTTTGATATGCTTTGCTTGTTCCAGTAGCTGGGAGAGGGGAAATAGGAACAAGTAGCCAGAGGAAGGAGAAAAGTGCTTGGAGTCTTTCTACAGCAGCGCCGGGTTACACCAGCTTGAAGTTCTTGTTGAGCATAGCCTGAGGATCTTCCAGTCTATATCAATACAAGCTCCCCAGAAGCTGGGCTTCCTAGGGCTGTGCCAACCACAGTTTAGCTCTGTCCACTGTCCCCAGAAACCCCAGGAGGAGTCAGTGATACTGGCAGTAAAAACCTCTACCAGTGCCAGCTGCATAGTAGCTGTTGTCACTAAGACAAAGTGACACTCCACCTGTAAAATTTTACTGCTCACTTTAAAGTCTCTTTAATGCAAATCTTCAGTGGTGTCCTGAATTTCAGTACACAAACGCAATGCAGAGAGATTCTTACCAAGGCTCTGAGTAGTGAATTAGGTTTCGAATTTATGGAGAAGCTTCATGGCCTTCCATGTTCACAGGTCCACTTTCAGCAACATCTAAGCCCCTGGATTTGTTAGTGGCTAGTATCCCAAGAATTTTGTCCTGTGTCTGTGGCTGAAGAAATATTTTGAGTCATGCTTTTGTGTACTCTGCTTGATGAAGCTTCTGATTTAGATTAAGTTTAATCCAGTTTAACTGGAAAAGTAACTAATTGCTTCAAGAAAATTATGCCATTGTCTTTTCCAGAAGACTTGCCTGGAAATCAGCTTAACTAATGCAGATGATCCCATCATAATATTAAAAAACAGAAGTAAAGAGAGAATCATGTCAGATACAATGGTTTGCTTCTGTAAACTGTCTCCACAAAATTAATCTGGCGTGAGTGCACACCAATTGTCCTCATGATAATCTGTCATACTCTGGTGGTGATCTTGACTTCAGCTGACCAGCTCTGGAGCCATTGTTTAACCTCAAGAGAATGTTTTCAATCTATCTTCTGTGTAGCGAAGCCCGCCTGAAGGCTTCCCTGACAAATGAAGTTACACAAAAGCTTTCACTTTGTCATCCTATGCTGCGTATGTCATGTTCAGTCTCCTCAAATTTTAAAATAAGTAAGGAATGGGAAAGTAACTGAATAAATTTAGTACATGTAGGGCCATAACTTGAAGCACATCTATACTGCAGTCAAATATGAAACTGTTTCTTCAGGCACAGTTGAGCAGACTTTTGTTGCAGGTATGTATAGCCAAGGAGTTCTGTGAGGGCTGCAGTGGGAGCAGATGAAAACAATGGTAGTTGCACGCTTCTGACCCTTCCACTGCCTTTGAACCCAGACTGGCCAGTTTATCTCTAGGATTTAGTGACCACGTAAACCACACCATAAGCATAGCCATTGTAGGTTAAAAGTCTGAATAAAGAAATTAATTTAAGTGATATAAAATTTGTCATGAGAGTTTCTACCAAAAAAAAAATGTTCCACTAAGAGCTGCTGTGCAGTGGCTGATGCACAAGGCATCTCTATTGAACAGAATTCTCACTCCAAGTAGTTAAAGATAGCGGTTCAAGTTTACTGGCTACAGTCCCTCAGATACAGGACTATATGGATGATGATTCTGAAATAAATCTGCAATTTCCCTTGCTCATACTTAAAATTCCAAGTCCTCAGAGCTTAGGAAATAGAGAGAGAAAGGGAGTGTCAACATTGACTCCAAGTGTCCTAATTAGTTGAAATCAAATAATTATTTCTAATAGGTTTTGTATTAATTAGTAATTTAGATAAATGTTATGAACAATTTGTCCTGTCACTAAGCAGATGTGCTATTTTCAGTATTTGAATATTTTGTGACTGAATTAAATCTATGTGAAGTTCCCAGGGGGCATAAAAGTGCAGAGCTGATTCCTAATTTTCCCATATTAGCTCATTTGAAACTTACCCAAACATTTGCAAAGAAGAAAGAAACAGCTGAATTTCAGTTCTAACTACACTGTTGCACTCTTGTTGAAGCTTCAGAGCTCTGCTGTGATCTGTTTCCTTGTTCAAGCTTTTCCTTTCTTAATAGATCTTGCTATCATCAGATTTTCAGGCTGTTAAGACTGATTGATGATGATGATGACAAGATACTTGTTAAAGCTGGGGATTTTCTCCCTCTGCTACTTCTGATATGGGACTTCAAAAGGCTTCTAAATGATGAGTCATATAGCTAAAATTGCAAAAGCCAGGCTGAAAGCTGAAAAAAGAATGTGTTAATAAATAGTGAGGGATGAAAATAATACACTTAAATAGGGAGAATCTATGGTGGGAATCTCTGTTTTACTTGCCTTAATGTATTCCATTAAATAATATGATATATAGGCAATGGATATAGTTGAAAAGCCAGGAAAGAGTTTCTTAAAAAAAAAACAAACAAAAAATGAACAATTAAAAAACAGAACAGCAGAATAAAGGCTGTATAGGATACTCTATTCAGTATTCAAACAAATGTTATACAGAGAGTGGAAATATGTGAAATATTTAGGCTTCCAAAACTACTTGTTGAATATCCTTCCTGGTAAGTCCTGTGTTGTTACTCTCATTCATGCTGATTTATGTCACTTCCCTTGCCATCTTTCATAAATATGGCTAATAAGGATTTGCAAGTACTGATGCCAGGTATTACAGGAGGATGATTTGACAACCCAGTAGTTGCTCCTTTCCCTTGAAGTATCCCCGAGCCAACATTCATTCTCTCATGCTGCGAATGACACTGTCAGAGTAATTGCTGCACTTCAGATTGAAATATACTCTTGAGGTAGTTTTTTCATTAAAGCTAAACTTATCCCACAATCCTTGTAATATTCAAACTTGTAAAATTCTCTTCCTTCTTTTACCTTAACCAGTTGTTTTTGTGGTGTTGTGCCCATCCAGTGCAAATGTTTTAACTCTGGAAATCTTTGTATTTCACTGATATATTAAATAAATCTCTGCATTGGTTTCAATGTGATAGTAGAGTCAAGAGGTATGGAAATCTCACTGTTGTAGAGAGGCTGGCATTATGAAAGGGGTTATTTATTAGATGTTTAATCTGAAAGGTTTAGTGAGTACTCCCTCCACATTATTGGTAAAACTCCAAGTACTTCCTCACACTGCATAGTATACACTCCTTAGTGCAGAAGACCAAAAGCAATAAAAGATGTAGTGTATGATAGGGAGAAATAAGCAAAGATTATGACCTGGTCCTAGGTCCTTCCTCTAGAAGGGATCTGTTACAAAAATATCCAGGCGATTTTTAAATTGTGCATCACTTAGGGTACAAAATAAAAAAACAAAACAACTCTTCTTATTGATTCAATGTGTGTGGAAAATTCTTTCTTCATGCCAGGTGTGGTGAGGGTTGTGACACTGAGTATGAGGCCATTTGGGATGGGGTGCACAGAATGTGGGTGGCCAAGGAACTAGGCAGGAATTGCTGGGTGTTGGGAAGTAAGAGTGAGCAGACCCAGCAGGATGGACAAGATAATGTTCAGGACATGGAGTGGGAGAGGTTAAATGGCAGGTCAGATCATGAAGCAGGTTAGGTGCCTTGGGAGGGAAGTGAAACCTGAGGGTCAGTGTGTACCTGATGTCTCAGACCTTAACCATTCCGACACTGAAAGAGGAAATTGCCAACATGCATGCTGCATCCCTTCACACAGAGGAGAGCAATTTGGGCTGTTGCTCTGCTAGCAGAAAGAGGTCTGCATCATGGATCTAAAAGTTACACCTTTCTTAATGACTCAAGCAGGTGTTAGTGTGATGCCACATAATGGAAGATTGCTCGGTGGGGTTTTTCTAACCTAGACTGCATATACATATAAATTTACACAGTGCATATAATGTCAGAATGTATTACAAATTTTTGAGAAAGAAACATTCAAAAAATTAGAAAAGTTGCCATTAAAGCCCTTCTGTAGTGTCTTATGGTGATTCTTTTATATATTTGCAGATTTGAACTAGATAGATACCTACTAATTCTTATATTGTTGCCTCAGTTTCAGTAGAAAAGAAGGACAGACATTTGGTGGTATTCTGGTGATCAGAGATGTAGAATCGCAACCTGATTTTTCAGAAAACAGAAGACAGTGGGAATAGTGAGGCACATCCTACCAAGAAAAAAAGGATTGCTTTTGCTGTGAAGGCTGTGCTCAGTAGCTGAGTTTTATCTCTGCTCTCAGCCACTGAAACCTCTTTTGACACAAAGTGAGTCACTTTAACAAATCCAGTCGCATGCTTTGTTTTCCCCTTGCATTCTGGATTCTTGTCTTGAGACCTTGTGGTCTGATTTACACGAGTGCTGCATGCTCAGCCACAGGGAGCTGAACATTGAGTTTATAAACTGAGTGTATAACCTCAAGCATTCTGAAAAATGAACTCTTAAGCACCTCAAGTTGGATGCTTATAATGTATGAATACTTCTGAGTATAATCTCTGCATGTATCAGAACATCATTTGCATTCTGAGAACTGTATCGTTCCCTTATAACATAAAATAAATTAGTTAATGTTTGTGCAGCTCTCACACAGTACAGCGATGAGCATCTTAGTAAACCTCATGAGGAAATTAATATTCTGTCCTCAGAATGGTATGAGCAACAAGGAGAGAAGAAATATTGAGCTAGCTGTTCATAAAATGTGTTAGGGGAGGTGAGATATTTTAAAATAAAAATATATCTTATGATGATTTATTAATATTTGGATTGTATTGCACAGCCACGAAATAGAAAAATTAAGTTGACATGCACAGCTCAAATTCTGACATTTCCTAATTTTGCTTTGTTGCCTTTGCTGTCCTACAACCTTTCCTTAAGTACCTACAAAACTATACAAGGAAAGAATCTGCTCCTTACATATCCAAGAGGACAGTAAGTTTCCTACTTAAATAAATTATATAGTACTAATTACTGAATATAATGTAATTATTATGTTTATAAAGCAGATGGAGATTAAATTTAAATTTCTGCAGCTCAGTGAAAGTTTAGGAAGATCCTCTCCATACACAGCAGCTGGGTTTCAAGGTGCACACCTACTTTGCATCTGCACTTCTCTTTCAATAATCCTCTTGGTGGATCAGGAACCAAACTGGTCCTAACTGTGTAAAACAGCATAGCTTGGCCTGGGAAAGCAAGCTCAGACAGTTTTTGCCTGCACAGCACAGAATTGTCATTGGTAGCCATGGGACAGAATGAGGCCATTAACAGATTTGGCTTGGCCTGGCAGATCAAACAGAATTCCTTTTGTTGTGGTGACAGAATTAGTTCATAGAGAGATAAAAAATTCTTTCTCAAAAAGGAGAATATTCCCACATAGTCTTGATCCTGCTTTTTACTTACAACTAGATTCTATGACTTGTTTATTAATTTTGAACTATCTGCACGTAATGTTCTGAATATAAATGTTAGGAAATCAGAAGTTGAAGATGGCATCAAGTTACTACAAAGTCGACAAATGTAAAATGTGATATACTCTAGGTTAGTCATGTGAACAGTACAGACCTCAAGTTGCTTACAGACCACAACAGCTTTGTCTGTGTTATCATAACCCAGCCTTCAGCTGCCACACTGCCCTTCTTTCTAAGAGAGAAAAAATGACCCAGGAGTGTTACTCTTGTTTTGTTTCTTAATCACCTACTTCTTGGGCCTTTGCCCAGCCGCCTACATACCTCAAAATAAATTATATTAAAGCAGTTGACCTTTTAGGTGTACAGAAATGGCCCTTTGCAGGGGGGAGGAATCAAGGAGGGGAAAAATCAAATCTTTATCTGAACCTTTCATTATACATGACAGGGAGAGGAACAAAGGGGGAACAAAACCCAAAACTGCCCAAGAAAGCCAAACTGATGGCACCTGTGCAATGCATTGTAGATCAGTATGTGGAGCTTTAATGATTATATGGAAGCAAAACAATAGGTACTAACCCTCATTTGGCTGAGTAGACTTGTTCTTAGCAGCAGTTCTCCACTGTGGAGGCTCCAAGTGTGTAAATGTAAAGTGGCAGTGCTGCTGCTCGCTGCATTTCTTCCAGTGGATGTTAGTCCAGCTTGGCTGCGTGGACACTTGGCCCAACAGGATGAAATGCTCCTGAGGTGGAGTGCCTGGAGAGTTCATTGGGAATAGTGGACAGCTGTATGGCAGTAGAGAGTGCATCCATAAAGAAATGGTGCCAGCCTGTTGTGCTGACAGTTAAAATGTAAATAATTTAAAGTAGATGAATTCATGTCCCATTCTTGCTGTGGGTGATGTTTGAGTTCAGTACAATGCTGGAGAAGCCAGAAGAGGTATGGATACATTCAGCTGTTAAGTGTGCTTTGCAGGATCAGATTCATGGCAAAAAGCTTGCAGAAGTAGTGAGCTGATTTTAACGTAATAAAGTATGTTTTACTGTGAAAGACTCTCAAGAGATTATATTTACACCTTACCTATTTTTTTTTAAAGAAAAAAGTCTAGATTACCCAATCAATAGATCTTCTCTTTTGTTTGGTGGTGGATTTTTTTCTTTCATCTTTCTTCATAATATTTAAATGTTATTTCAATAATATTTACTTATTTAAGGTATTTTGCTCATCTGAAATTTCCTTTAAGAGAGCTAAATTATGATTTAAAAATGACTCAGATTTGTCCCAAAGCTGGTGTTTCAGTCAGCATTTTAGACTTAACTGATATCAGTAGGATAGTGTAAAACTGTAAAGAGTAAATCTGTTTTATTGGTATTTATTTAGTACAGCAATGAATATTGAATTTGTAATTTCCGGTGGTTCTTAGGGGACTTCTGCAGGGGGAGCTCCTTTTCTGAACTCTCTGTTCTTGGCTGTTCCCAGAAGAACAATGTTTATTGATATCAGTGTTTTATTATTGATCTGCTCAGTATGAAGTCGTTTCATCTTCATGTTTTATTTTTCTCTCTTTTTTGTGTTTAGTACACGGTGTGGACTGCCCTGTGGGTCACCTGGAATGTTTTCATTATCTGCTTCTATCTGGAAGTAGGCGGGCTTTCTAAGGTAGGTCACTTATCCTTTTTCAGGTTTATGGGAGGGTGTTTCAACAGCAGGACTGTCAGATTTTGGAAGACTGGAACCACAGAGGAAAAATGTGGTTGTTTGAACATCCAGTTTGATCTTCAGCATTTCCCTCCAACAAGAATAGTAATGTTTGAACTTCTCCCTGCTAGTAAACAGCCACAGGTTTGAAGTACATAAATGCAATGAATCTGAATTACAGTTGCCTTCTGAAGTACCATCCCAAGGTGAGAGGTAGGAAGTATTCAGTTGTAAATTTGAGGTCCTTTTTGATTCTTGAGAAGCAGGCACTGTAATTTTTGTTGAATTTTCAAGTGTGTGTAAAAAGTGTGAATTTCCAAGACTACTTTGAAAAAAAATTACTAAGAAGGTTAATGTAATAAATTGTTGAGTAAATTGATCTCACAGTGAGAATGTTAATTCTTTATAAAAAAGAACAAATGGCAAAGGAAGAATTTTGTCACATCTGAATAAAGCTTTCCATTACATGACACTCAGTGCTCTAGGTCACCAATTCTTTATTCAATCCTCTGATTAGAGCAGAAATGTTTGCTTGAATTATCGAGAGACGTACAATTGTTCAAGGTGTCCCTTATGTTAGCATAGGTTGTGTTTAGTGTTGTATCTGCAGGGAGTTTCAAACAACACCTTCTGGTTTTTATCCCCCAGTTGGACACAGATGATATAGATCTTGGTTTACCACATTTACCACATTTAAATGATTCCAGGCACAGTCTGCCCATGGCTCATGCTGATCCCAGCATTGTTAATAGAATAAATGCCACTGTTACTGGTTGTAGATTTAATGATATGAACTGCATCACTGTTAATTCATGCAATAATTTTAGAGAATGCAGTCCTGTGCAATGTGCTCTGGGAAAACCCTGCTTGAGCAGGGAGGCTGGACCAGATGACCCACTGTGGACCTTTCCAACCTGACCCATTCTGTGATTCTGTGAATTGTTTACTCCACTCAGTCCAGAGTGGAACATTTCTGAGCTATGTACTTGCTAGCATTAAAGCTCCTAGCTTTTGGTTGACAATAAACAGAAAATTGATGAAACCAATTTAATAAGAAATAAGACTTCATTTACTCAGTAGAAATTCCATTTAAATTTAAGCTTTCAGCGATAGGTTCCTTTGGTGATAAAAATTCATAATGAAAAGCTGTAACAGTTTATTTTTCCTTCAAATATGTAGCTTGTGAGAAGTCACAGGCTTGATAAAGAAATTAGTACACTTCATAGATGATCAAAATAAATGATCCTGATGGTATGTTCTGACTTAAAACTCTAGTGCATGAACAGAAGAGCAACACATAGAAATGATGAATAGCCAAACATTGTTCATTCTTATGATACATAGAGTTGTATACTTTTATTTAGTTAGGTCATGTCTGTTTTCGTAGTGACTATTATATTTTATGTATAAATAATATATTTATCTAAGGGCCTAGGAAGTGAAGCAAAGCTTTTAGTCTGACCCTTGAATTTGTTTGCAAAGGATTCTGATCATGTCCTCAGTTAAGAGGTTTATAAATCAGCAGGTGTGAATTTAAATCCTTCATCTTCCAGTTTCACCTCTGTGTTTCACTTTTTGCTCTTCTTACTTAACATGTATGACAAATCACAATGCAGAGAAATAGTAGCAAAAATACTGCTTGGCAGTTGACAAAACTCCCTTTTATTAGTGTATAGTTCAGTTAAACTCAACATTTTTGTGGAACTTTTATCTTGTGGTTTATAATTACATTTGAAAAGTATTTCTCAATGAGGTGATGGACACAAAACTATTGTCATGGAAGTTAACTGCTCTTGTATAAATTATACCAAAGGTATGAGTATGAAGACCAGCTTAGCAATGATAGAATTAAATTTTTTCAGTACATCACGGTATTTTGGGTCTATTTATTGGTCTTTCTGAAAATTATGTTAGATATGATGAGGCCATCAAGATACTTTTTGTCCCATATGCATAAAATCCTGGGTATTTACCATTTGGTTAATATGTCACACCAGCTTTAATTGGGACCCACATTTTATTCAAGATGCTAGTTAAAAAAATTCAGCATTTCTTCCATTAATATGTTCCTGTGCTGTCAGACATGATAGAAAAGTGCTGTTATCTGAGTACATTAGTGTGGTTGGGAAATCAAACACCATAATAAGCTTTCCAAGTATGGCTATTTATTCAGCATTGAAATCTTGGCAGGCAATATTTGCTTTTTTTTTCCTTCCTATTGTTCTATTTTTCCATTAAAAAAAAATAAAAAGAAGCTGTGTCTCTGAAATGAATACAGATTGATTACAATTTTAAACTTCTGTTGACATACTATCAGGGAAAATTGTAGTGCTGTCTGGCAGGTGATTTCTGTTGGCTTGTTTGTTTTTCAGCAGTACCATGTTTGTATTTGCTTTGACCAGAATGAGGTAGCTCTTGCTTGAATTGAGTCCTCAATCATGAATGCTTCAGAAAATCTAACTTGGTACAATTATAAATGGTAATTTTAATTCAATACCTGCCCATGGAGTATCCATATAATGCAGAGAGACTTTTCAAATGTCATAACAGAAATCCACCACTGCTGAAATTTTGCTCAGATCTTATTTTTGAAGTGGGGAGGAGGATCTCCTTTGAATATCCACTGTTTGAATTCTGCCAGGAAGTACTACTGCAGTTAATGAAAAATTTGAACGAGAATACAAAGGACATAGGTAACCTACTCCTGTTTACTGTGAAAGTTTGAAACATTTTCCCTTAAATTACCTTCAGTTAAAATTTTCTTGATAAACTAAGCACCCTCCAATAGCTAGGCTGTGTTGATTAGGCAGTCTTCTGGGAAAAGGATGATATAGCTTCAAGTCATCTTGGGTGCAAAAGGGAAATAAACACAGCTCTCCCACAGCCAGCTGTTGTCAGTAGAAATCTAACGAGCAACGGTTCCCTCTTTAACTGCCTTATAAACAACATAGAGGTCAAGATCCTTTTTCACTTACGTTAAAGATGTGCAAATGAAGTTGTAATGCTTCTTTTCAGGGCTAAAAAAAATTTATTTGATCAGAAATAGAAGAAGTATACCTATATACACCTTTTTTATTTGTATTATTTTTTCCTGATTTTAGCAGCAATGAAACTGCCTATATGAAATAAATGAAATTTGCCTGTCTTTTTTCATTTACTACTTCTCTGAAATTAGAAACATAATTTTTAGTGTTAACCACTCCATATGAGAGAAACAAAGCTGTTATTATAGCATGACCTTTTAATTCTGCACTGCAGGATGACAGCTTGCTACATCCATACATAAACTCATTAATTGTTTTGATCTCATTCTGTGTCTTGAAATGAAGTTCTAATGTCACATTCCAGAGTACAGACAATTTAAAGCATGTAGACAAAACTACAAACTGTTTTTCTGAAGTTTTGTGCTTAAATGTGGACCACATAATTTCTAATGTGTATAAGCCATCCCTCCATCTTCAGCAATATATGGTGTTATGTACTCCTGTACAAAGGAGTCTTCATCTGTTTAGAGTGTACATGTAAACAACATTAATAATTATGTTGTTTACATCCCTCCAATGTTTCAGATCCAATATGAAAATAGCTGTTTTCATTTGTATTTATCATTTGCTATTCCAATTTTTTTTTTTTAAAGACCATTTTTCTACTGCTTTTGTATTTGTAAGTTACTGGCATTTCTTTCCATGTGTTAAAACCATTATTTGGTAAATGTATAGCAGCACTGAGGTACTGTGTACACCTTTCCTGTTGTTTCATATACCTTACCTAAGCAGCTGGGGTACATTGATGAGCTCTTTTCTTTTTCTAGGATATTTCTGCTTGTCTTGCATGGCTTTTCCATGGCATGCTTCTTTGCTGTGAACCATGCCTCACTCTGGATTTAAGTTTTGCTCTCAAAATTGAGCTCTGTGTCAGCTGACTCTTCTAATATTTTTGGCCAAGGATTTGCCTGACACACACTCATATATTCAGTAGGTAACTATTTCTAAATAGTTTATGTTTATTATCTTGTCCTTAGTTTTACATGTTAAGTGAATGTGAGCTCTCTGTTATGCCTGTGACACCAACTTTCCCCTGAAGCTGTGGGAAGTCTTGCTTATGTCACTAAATGAAAAAATATCTTTTCATGTGTTTTTTCCTAGTAATATTTACTTTGGTCAATGGATGATCAAAGTTTTTAGGGCTCCCATCCAGCTTTATTAAGCTGGAGACAGAACTATAAGCCAAATTATTATGTGGACCTGTAGTTGGAGGATAGAATTATCTGATGAAATTAATGATTTCTTCCATCTGAGGAAAAAATGGACTAATAATTTGCTTATTAAAATGTTGAGAGACTGGAAACGTAGTGCTCTTTTCCAAACAAAATGTTGTATATCAGAATCAGGGTTAATTATGTGGACTTTATACTGGCTGCTTGTGAAATCAAATTTATTCCATCTGGTGCATGTCAGTCAGTCCTTAATTGTTGTGCAATTATATCTAATCATCTCAAATTGAGTAAGTTAAGCTCAGAAACAATGCTAATTTGTATTAATAGAGATGTAATAGTGTATGCTTGGGCTTGTGTCTTTTTTTTTTAATGTGAAATGAGAACATTGGTTGAATTTACATTAAGAATATGAAAGAAAAAGTGATTCTCTTTCTAACTTGTGCTGATATAAGTGAGAAAACAGAGACCATTATTTTGGGTTAATTATCATCATAATTAGCTCCACAGAATTACCCACTCCAAAAAACTCAGGGACAAAGTTGGCAGCATCCATAAAACCTATATGGAAAATCAGTAGATAGAGGATAAAGGATTTCCTTAGTCTAAGCAGGTCATTGTGCATCTACTCACATGTAAGTGACTTTTATGTAGAGGAACTTTTTTTCATGTCCACTGGGAAGAAGAGCAAGAAATAATTTGCTGAGCATGTGGCAAAGAAGATTTGGTTGGAGGTCAGGAGAAGCTT